ATTAACTATAATGGCTTGCGCCTATAAGAAACTAGAACTCAGATCATAAAGTCCTCACAAAATGAGGGTGAAATCTCTAGGCAGTGTCTTATCTACAAACCCATCTGCCTTCCAAAATTTACCCTAGAACTTAATTCTGTTAAAACTCCCTCGCCGAAAAGAAAAAGCAAACAAAAAGTGGGCGGAGGCCGGGGCCGAATTTTTGGAGCCCACAGCAGATCACACTTAAATCCCACATACGAGAACTCAAAACTCAACCTCTCATTGCTTTGATGCCCCATTTGCCTCTTTCATGTACAAAAGCCAACTCCTTTGGCTTCTTCTCCCGAACTATCCTCACGCACGAAAGCTTCTTCGCTTCCCCCCTCAACCCCACAAACTCCACGCTTGCTTCCGATTTTCCTTCCTCCTTGCAGCCAAATCGTAAAACCCTATCCATCTTTCAACTCTTCCACGCACGCGAACATCTCCTACTCTTTGTTTTTCCTCACGCGAAAACTATCTCAGCTGCAACATCCCATCGACCTCTTCATGAGACCTTCGATCTCTAAACCGCGAAGCCACCAACAGAAATCTCCCAATCCCTCTTCTTCTCCGCATGTAGCTAACTCGTCTGCTGAAGCCGCAAAATCACCCTGGTCGAACCCTTCCTCTCAGCTGAAGGCTTCCATAGCGTCGAGCCCTAGCTGCATTTTCAAACAGGTACCCTGAAGGCCCATACACGCCATTCTTTGTTGTGGTAGAGTTGAAGATTTACTGCTGCGGTGTCATCTGACACCTACTATTCACGCTTTTGTCTAGCGTAGTAGATGCCCAAACTCCTGGAATTTTTCCTAAACGGGGGAGACGCCGGGAGGTTACCAAATTTTTTGGTGATCAGGGAACTTGGCTTGGACCATCGGGAACATAACTTAAAGCAATAAACCGGAATTTAATTCGATAAATGCACAATAAAATTGAAAATACAAGGTGTTTAATAATGATATAAAGTATTCAAGCGGATATCAATTGATGAACATGAAATTTGCGCCAGATAAGAAACCTTAGATGCAATTCACTTATAAGCCAGAATGCTTAATCAATCATATGCAAACGATAATATTTCCTGCATGTATATGCAAGAAAGTTGTAGTGAATGTGATTACATGCTCAATGCATCCGATAATACATTCAACTCACAAGAAAATACATCTATTTCTCATGAAAAATTGAAAAAACATAATGAATGATGCAAATTATCAATCGACATACAAGGAATGCGGCATATCTACGAGCAATGATCTGTTACATAACATGTTTATTAGCAAGACATGAAGGCAGTGGGTGACATGCAACGAAGGTGAAAATCAAAGACTTACAACAACATTAGCCACCATCCTACAAACATATACAAGAAGATTGTGATGGAGGCAATAACACGAGCATGAGTAAATATAGGAGGCATGCAACAAATATCAAATTGAAGTGCGGCCCTCTCACAATCAACACAAGTTAATATACAAGCAACCGTATCGATACATTGCAAGTGAAAGAAATCAGTGCACAGTGAACGTAATGATTTAATGCATTTGATGAGATTAAGAATTTACGGTGCAGGCAACACATCGCCTACAATCCAAGAGAATAAATTTTAATAAGTGTATATATTTGCAAGCAACATCAGAAGACTCAAGCTTAGTGTAGCTTGTTGTAATGCACACACTAGCTTTATACACGAGCAAATGTAAGAGGCTTACCATGCACACGCAGTGGTTCACCTGCAAGTGATAACAAATAACATGCAGTGGATGTTGAATCGTCCCTACGATCAGCACAACTCAATATCAGTCAAATATACCAATCCCCTACTGGTAGAAGAAGATGATACATAACAAAATGCAAATTTCTATAGGCTGTCGCAGGAATCCCGTTGTAATATTCAACATGACTCATTTACAAGCGATAATCAGCGAAGATTATAGAGAGCATGGCAACCCGCTTGCAGACAATAGTGAGAGGCAAGATGATGGTCGTGGATGTTATGATGTGTTCATATAAAATATGCTACTAATGCATGCAAGGCATCGTTCATAAGCCTAAAGCAGCAAATTGCAATAAGTATAGGCACTCGCAAGCAGCGGCAGAAAATTGAAAGCGTACACAATAGTACTGTTCTAAACAGATGTTGAAAGATGTTATACTAAATGTGACGGTCCTCTTTGAACATGGGCACACATGACGTATTATCTACAAGAGAAAATGAGACATTTGTAGTGCATACAAACATCTGCAAGGTCATTTGTAAGGGACCCATCATGCATATGATACGTCGCCTGCAAGTAATTAAGTGTGTTTATAGTATGCATGAACACTCAAATTATATATCGACAGGCAATGGATGTAACAATATTCTTATGACTAACCACCATGCGATGTTGGACAAATATGCATCAAATATAGTCTCGTATAAGTCACTATAGAATACTTGAGGATAATGATAGAAGATTTATAATGCCTACAATGATTGTTCTTACGAGCAATGATATGGGGTGTATTGCAAGCACAATGAATTCTCCTGCAAACATGAATGAGAAAGATTTGCATCTAGTGCAATACATTATTCACAGGCAAAAGCACAAAGGCTAGTGATGAATGCAAATATCCAATTGTATAAAGCAATGGGTTAATAACTACAACGCGACGCCATGACATCGGATTCACAATATCTGTACAAGTAGACATAAGCAATTACGAGCTTCCAAATAGAACACACGTGCAAATGACAGTTGTCCGCACAACTAATCAGCGCTAAACACTTTAAAACACACCCATACATACACCTCGACATGTATACATACAAACACAAATAAATGCATATGCAATCATACACCTGTATGGGCCATGACGAGCGTGTTGTATTCACACGTGACGTATGAGGATGATGCGCAGTCAAATGATAAATTCAAATTCGAGCCCGATCCTTCTATGCGAGTAGATAGGAGTCAATATGGCTCAACTATCAAATAAATGTACGGTCATAATGTCGACCATGATGTTTGTTTTATATATTCATATTAGGCCTTCAAGGAGTACAACGAACAAAATTCACTAAATAAAGGCATAAAGCCTACGAAGAAGCCGATTTTATGTCGACAAGTAGACAGAGTCGACAATGTTCAATCAATGAAATGCAACTGCCATGAATACCTCGGTGATAGTCGTCTTAAACGTAGATCTCAATCGGAGGAGTTAACTCCAAATATTTTAAATGCCATTCAAAATCCCACAAAATTCAAAAATCCAGAAATATCAAAATCCAAATCTTTAAAATGAAAAATTAATGATCAATTACTAAAAGCAAAACCCATCCATCCTCCATAACAGTTTGTTGAGGTAATAAATTTAAAAATACACTTCAGCTTACAAAGAGCAATGTCTAGTCGAGAATATCACTATAATTTATTTTCAAATTATTTCTTGCCATTAAGAATGTGACACGTGTTCTCTAACTTACGATTTTGCCGCTAAATGACACCATAGGTAAACAATTATGACCGCGGCCCTTTGAACTGGGTGGTTTGCCGCCAAATAGCACCACTAAATTACGGTCATGATCAGAGCCCGTAAGCTCCCCAATGGCAATAAATCCTTGAGATATGAATCAATAAGATATGTCATATGATCGATATAGCACAAAACCTTATGTTAGCTAATATGGATTGAAATTTGTCACCTTAGACAAATACTCACCCTACGTCTACAAGATACCCTTGGACGGCGCAACTCATGATTGCCAATAAGGATTCTTCTGTTAGCTTGGGTCAACTACCTCTTCTGATTAAGTAAACTTAAGGACCATGATGGCCCGGGATGACGGAACCATGGGATCTTGATTGGGCTCATCATCACTTCCCCCACCATCCGCTTTAAATGCAAGATGGTGAAATTTTTAATTTTAAATATTAAATTTCCACATATCACCCTATGTTGCTGCTATATGACATATATCATGTATCTATGGATACAATATATTCTTTTGATGACTAGCCTTAATCGAAAGTTCTCTCATTACCAGGAGGGGTAATTAACTATAGGGGCTTGGGCCTATTGGAAATTAGAACTCAGATCTAAAGTTCTCGCAAAATGAGGGCGAAATCTCTGGATAGTATCTTATTTATAAATCCAATCTGCCTTCTGAAAATTTACGCTGGAACCTAATTCATTAAAATTCCTCGAGAAAGCAGGGGAGGCCGGGGTGCGAATTTTTGGAGCCAAAAAGGACATGATTTCCTTCTTTCCAGTCATAAAATATTCTTCGAAAAGTATTTGAATCCTGAGTCTAGTACTAGTTGTAGCATATGATGTTAAACGTCTATTGTGAAACCTACAATTAGTTGAAAGGCTACTGTGGCTATTGCTGATATTTAATAAGATGCATGCGTCTCCAAACTGTGGTGCATACATCTATGTGTATTATGTGTTCTCTCTTGCATACATCCTTTAATTGATGCATTCAAGAAAGTTAAATATGCACATGTGCTTGTAAATATATGATTTTTTATTTTCATTTTTGATCTGGTTAATTTTTCTAAAAGACAAGAGTGAACAACAATTTGAGGAAGGTGTTTCGTTTATTTTTTTTGAACTCACACCATCCATCCTTTGGTCTGAGGCAACTTAGCTGGTTCAAAATGCTCAGTTTAGATTTGTTTCAGCTGCGTTCTCAGCTGCCTTCACGGTTTGAGTTCATATAGATTTTATTGACCGCCCCTTATGGCATTTGGTTAAGAGAAAGTCTGTGTAGAATAATATTTATAGATATAAATCGTTGAATTATGTCCCTCTTGGAATAACAAATTATGGCTACAAATGCGCCACTGATACTAGAAGTACAAATGCACATGAATGGTTTCAATTCAGGTCTTAACGTGAATGAAATTTTTAATATAAACTTGCACAAAATCGGATAATGAAATTATTTAATGCGAAAGTGTATAATTATTATTTCTTGGTATTTCCAGGAACGAACTCTTTCCAGGATCCTGAAGATGGTGGGGAAAATCAGGATCAGGTATCCCGTGCAAAATTCTTTGAATTCTAGAACACACTTCCTCCAAACGGTAATGCCTATTTCTTTTTAATTCCTGGTAGAGAAGTACAGGCGACAACAAACTTGGAGAAGATGCTCCATCGTTAGATGCAGAAACAACAGATGAGAATGTAAAATAATCTTTCCATTATTTTACTTTTACTTTTGGTCATGTTGAAGAGTTAAGCGTTTGTTTTTACTCTCACTAGTTATGTTAAATGGGCAATTGGGCAACTAGCCTGATCATTCTTTGGCCAGGTTGACCCTGTAATGCTAGCCAGGTTGTTGAGAGAATAAAAGTATAATGAAAATGTAAAATATTGACGTGTTTCCCATTTATATAATGCATTATAAATGCATCCATATGAAAAATATGTTATATAAGTACATTTGTTATTCTTTTTGGACTGAGATACATATTAGCTGTTGGACGACTTGACAGAAATGGTAGGCTCAGTTTGTGTTAGGCCCACCTTTACATTGATTATTTCTAGCTCTCTATGCTTTTATTCTATGAAAAATTCCATCTTCTTTTGTTTCTTTTCACAATTTTGTTGATGTGCTTTCTGCTAGATGACTGTTGAAAATCTGTTGGAGGCCTATGAAACATGTACATCTGCTTTGCGAAAAACTCAATCTAAACGCCGGACAATTTCTCTAAGGAAGATCGCTCCTGCTTACTTTTCAAAGGAGGTCAGCTGTAAAGGACTTGATTCTTGATGAATTCACTTGTTTTTTTTAGTTATCTATGTATTATCATGCTGAATTATGTTTTGATAGTCTAAATAATTTTTGCATGTTATATCTAAGTGTAGATGAGAAGATTTTTGTGGTGGTGGTACTGTGAATTATTTTTTACTGCTCTTTTTGATTTCCCAGTTTATAGTGGATCGAATATCTCAATTTAATATATAGACATAGAACGTAGTAATAACAGATGTCATCTTATATCACACCCCAGTTTAACCCACCCCCTAATGGAAAATATGGAGTATAACAGAGAAGGAAAATCTAAATTGACTCCTTTTTACTAACCCCCATTCTGAGCCACTACTTGTAGAATAAAGGGAGAAAAAAGAAAAGAAAAAAGAAATCTATTTAGGCTCTCCTAACATGTCAACGTATCATATAGTATACTTTACTGAACATCGAACATAATTAAAACAAATACAGAGCTCTACTAAAACTTTTGAATTAACTTACATACCTAAAAGTTTATACAGCTATCCTTCAGATCTCTGAGATCTTTTTGTATATCAAAACATATTTACACCAAAAACGAACGGTCACCTCTTTCTCGCCTAGTGCACTACGGGCTCCTTTCCCTTACATGCAGTATAACCACTGCTAATGAGCTATGGCTCAATGAAATACACAAGCAATGCATAAGAATTAATAATAACATTTTAATTATTTAGAAAGACATACCATTCGTGACTAAATAATAACATGGTTAGAGGACTTTTCACATGGATCACAAAAAAATATAGCAATACTTTTCATCTTGCTAATTGTTTTGATGGCTATAAGCTTTTGCACCCTTTCAGCTTTTCAATTCAAGGTTGGGTCTAGTTTCCCAACTTTTAAAATTGAAGCTATTCTCTCAATTCAGGGTTGGGTCCAAATTCTCAACTTCTAAACTTGAGAGTATAGGCTTATATCGTCAAGTCTTTCGCCTTTATTTGTGCGGACTTATCCCCCAACATATGGCTTAATCACTTTCCTAATAGCAATCCTTTTTAGTCCTCATGATATATGCTAGTATAAACAATACTTACGAATAATCATAGTCATGAATAAACTGAAAGAAATTGAAGAAAACTGAAATTAATGCTATCAACCATAATAGATATGAATAGATATGAATTGCAATTAAAGAAAATATTTATTAATTTATATAGCATTGTTAGGTTTCTCACCTCGTTTTTCAGAACAGTTAGGTAAACTGATTCACCTAAAGTATTCTGATTCTTTCGCCTTTTATATACCACTTCAATTGAACTCTTCTTCATCCCACTCTAAATTCTTCCCTTACCTCTCTTTTCTCATTCTCGCTTCCTTATTCCTAACAAATTTCAATAACCTTTAATCAGCATCAGCACTATAACAGTCATATAGCAACACTAAATTTTTAGTTTTGTTTTTCCTACTGATTTCAGCTAACCACTGTTTTCAGCTAACAACTATTTTCTGCAATTTAAATATAGCAAACCTTATTTTCAGCACTCATTTATTAAATTCCAACAACTAACAATCTACAACAATCTTATATAAGAAAATATAGATTCAACATTGAATTGAATTTCCATACCTGCTTCTAAGTTTCACTTTACTACTTCTTCCCAACAATTAAAAAAAAACCATGAACTCGGCAGCAACCTATCTCTGTGTTTCCTTCACAACAGCTGCAGAGATTTCTACAAAAAATGTCTTCCCAATTCAGTAACTAGTCGCAGAAATTCTCCCAGAAACCATAGCAGTTCTACTGTATGTTCATAAAAATCAATTAAAAATCAGTAATAACATGCAGGAATCCTCTTACTCGAGTCCATAAACAGCAGAAAAATTCCTTCAGCACTCCAAATTTCAAAATCTCTCTCAATATCATTTCTCTGTTTCTCCAATACTAGCAGTATTTGCTCTATTCGAACTCCAGAGACAAAACTGACCGTTGAGAGAAGGGAATGGTTCATACTAGCTATTGTTTATAACTGATAATATATTATTATAATCTACTGCATTTCCACTATTCCATTTCTCCAAATCATTCACAGCCGTGGGATTTAATCAAGCCATTGCATGCTTGGCTAAGTGGGAAGCTACATGAAACATAATGTAAGAAATTGAAATGATGAAATGAAAGGACGGTTACATGAATATAAGATTAAGTTAATATTTAATTAACTCACTTTAATTAACTATTCATGAACTCATTATGCATATACTATTAAATAAATCTTTTACCTATACTTCTATATGTCAACATGTATGAAATTAAAAGTAGAATTTATTGAAAATAAGTTAACATTTACAGGAAGTTGAAGGTTACATTATTTTGAATTTGAATATTTTGAGAGAATTACATCTTATTAATAAATTGAGTAGGTTCGAGAATTTGTGGCGTTCTCAACGTGGTGGATGCATGATTTTGTTCTTGGTTTGTCTTAATGTTTGTATAACTCCATTATTCTCTGATGGTCGTCAAATTCTTGGGAAACTCAAATCTATTTTAATTTTTATTGGTGTTTATCTTCAATGAAAAGGAATTTCCCCATGTGCTTCGCAACTTGGGGTTTTGATGTGGAGATTGAAGCTGGAAAACTTCTTAATGTAAAGAATGCTTATTCTTGATGTTGTAAGGATGTTAGTTTTTTACTTGCACGTGATGTTGATGAGAATGTAGGAGTGTGGGGTGTGGCCAAGAGGGGAGAGAGAGAGAGAGAGAGAGAGAGAGAGAGAGAGGGGATGTTGTTGGTGGGGTAGGGGGGATTGGTGTGGGTTGGGCTGAGGTGTGTAGTGCGGGGTTGGGTGCAATGTCAATGGCCAAAGGCTAGAGATAGAGTTTGAGATTAGCTTTGCTTGTATCTATTTTAAGCATTCATGAGTGATTAAATTTCTTATTTGTAATGAGAATTTCATCATCAATGAAATAACAATGATGATGTTATTGGTGGGGTAGGGTGGATTGGTGTGGGTTGGGCTGAGGTGTGTAGTGTGGGGTTGGGTGCAATGTCAATGGCCAAAGGCTAGAGATAGAGTTTGAGATTAGCTTTGCTTGTAGCTATTTTAAGCATTCATGAGTGATTAATATATACAAGCTTTCTTATTTGTAATGAGAAATTCATCATCAATGATCAATGTTTAAAATTGCGTGTTCGGGTATTGAGGCGTTTTTCATTCGTGATGTGAGACGTAATCCTCAAAATCAAAAGATTGCGTAAACATAAAATGATAAATTTTTTATATACTAATGAGTAAATAATATAAAACATAGAAAAGCATATGATATGAAGTGAAATCAAAATATCCCAATAATAAAACAACATGAAATTTTGTTTAACTCAAAATTCTATCTTTCCCAAATCCCAATATTCTTTTCATTAACATATAATTCAAATTTCCAAAAATAAATAGCAATGACATATCACATAAGAACTCATAAGTCATCAGCACTGTCATCACTAAGAGGTTCTTCATTTGAATCATCGTTATGATGAACTTCTCTCTCCCCTTTCTCCTCTCATATAGAGTCCAATGTCGGGCATTTACTTTAAGATATATATATATATATATATATATATATCGTGAGGCGAGGCGGGCCTCAACCAAGTTGAGGCGCAAGCCTCATAAAAAAAACTCGAGGAGTAAGCATCGAGGCGTTTTTTACTGGAATTGCGCAGAGGCGGGCCTCAAGGCCAGCCTCATATTGCGCAATTTTAAACCATGTCAATGATAAATAACAATGAAGAAAGCAATCAAAAGAAATAATGGTGGATCTTTCATAAAAGGCTTATCTTTCATGAGAGAATTTTTTAAATACGATAGTCTTTCGATTGCTTCATTATTAATTAATAAAACTATTTTAGGTAGTAGTTTGGAGGCAAATCTAATGACTTGTTGAATATTGATGATGATAGATCAACTTCATCTTAGGAGAGTGCTCAGCTAAGTATTCATTTTATGAAGTAGGGGCGAGTCACTGCAGCTCCTAGAGGGATATACAAATGGTATCATGGGCTGGATGACCATGTCATTCAATTAGGAAGTGCTGCTAGCTAGTTTTGCAAATTTTGATCTCATCTGTGATAATCTGCTCAACAAAATCTATAGAAGGAACTAAAGGCAAGGCAATAACGTTTAGTGAGAAACATAATAGGCTCAAAATTATTTCTAAAAGATTTAAATAGCTTTGATATTACATACTGAGGCAGTTCAGTCAAACAAGTATTATATCCTTATTTCTTTAAGATTTTAGATTTTATAGGACCAATAAGATATGGTGTAGAGTTTATTGTAAGAATTAGTATGAAAGTTTTTGTAGTGAATAACCAATGAATAACCCCCTTTGTGAAACTTGTAAATTCTATTTTTCTTAGCTATAAACATGAACTTTATATACATGCTTAGTAACGCAGTACCAGACAATGATATATCATGATATTCTTGGCAAGGTAATAAAATCAATAGGAATGCATGAGCTTTTACCATAAGTGACCTCGAGAAGAAACTTACCAGTAGTATGATGGAACAAATTGTTTTAAGTGAAGGCCATAATAGGTTGCACTGATTCCCATTAATTTAAGTGATCTCTCACTAGATATTTCCATGCCATGCTCTCCCCCATTTCCTTACCCAGTTGTCTCAGATTCATCCCACTCAATGTTTCTCTTTGCTAGGGAAAACTTCATGGTGATGAGCAAAACATGATAACACTCTGAACGTTGAATGTGCGGCCCATTCAAATCATTTTTACATAGTGGAAAACGCGTTTTTTTGGTAGATTCTTGGTTAGGACCTCACACAAAATGCACAGAGTTTTCCCCAAAATACATTTATTGTTATGGAGGGATGAAATTTTAATGGTGATGCCCTTTGCATTAACCTCAAGATACCTCTGTTGGCATGATGGAATGCTTTTGCTACTCTTCTGCAATGGAACACAATAGCATAAACCATAGTTTAAAATTGCGCAA